CCCATGCGGGCCCCTGTGGCTAGAGCGTCCAGGCCTCCACACTTACCAGTCGGGCAGGGGACAGGTACTCCTCTGCCAGCTGCTCTCTGTGGCTGTCCCCACGATTGCCTAGGCCTTTGCTCTGTGGACAGGGGTTTTGCAGGCCCTGCCAGCTCAGCTCCCGTACCTGGATGCTGGCTGTGCCCGGTCGAGGCCTGTGGGATCTGTCCCAGGCTGGGTCCATTAACATCTAACCTGGGGGAGAAGACAGATGGCAAAGCTGCTAAGCTTCTGGTCCTCCTCTGCTCAGCAGCCCAGCCAAGACCCCTTTAGAACCTTTGACACTTGCCCATGGCAAGTCCCTGGCGTCCCAGTCCCCAGCCTGGAGAAGGCTCCTGGCCTGGCTTGTGGCTGCCCTTGTCTGCTTAGACTCGGCCTGCCTGGGGGTCCTCACAGTCTCATCTACTAAGACTTGTCTCAAACCCCTCTGCCGCATTGGCCACCTTCCCCGTGTTCCCTCTATCCTTCAGGGGCTCTGGGCCTCCTCATCTAAGGCCTCATGGACCATGAGCCTGGGAGTGCCAGCTCCAAGTTGTCACTACGGGCTCTAGGCTGCCTCGGGGCCTAGACTGCGGCACCTTTTCCATCTGATCTCTGAGCGTGGGGCCCCCGACCAAGGTCTCGGGCATTCCCCCCACCTCAGCCCTGCACGGCTGAGCCCCCTCACCTGCAGGCAGCTGCCCTCTCCTGCTGGGGGTCAAACATCCAGGCAAGGAGGTGCCATGTGTCTCCTGGCAGCACCTGCAGCAGAGGGTACGGTTGGCTGGCCAGGTCACTGTGTCCAGAGGCACCTGGTCTGAGGTCACAGTACCCAGAAGTGAGCAAAAGTAGGGGTGAGGGCTGTCAGCCTGTGGCCTGGCCCTGAGTGTCCTGTGACAGTGACGAGTGACTTGACCCAGCTGGAGGAACACAGAGCCAGGAAGATGACCAAAGCTGGGGTTCCTCTGAGTCCCCAAAGCAGATGCCTGGTTCTCATCCAAAGCCCCTTCCTTCTACTCCCAAATGGGGTTCCCAAGCTGCTGCTCTGCCCACCCCTAGTGGACTGGGACTCCTTTGCACTCCTGTCCCTCCTGAGTCCCTCCCCGAATGCTGGAGGAGGTTGCCCAGTGTCACCAGGCTCACCTCACGTCACATCTTGAAAATGCAGATGCCTGCACGGGCGGCAGACCCCAGGCTGATCCTGCCTGGGAGTGGAGCCGCAGCGTGCTGGGGTGTTCAGTGTCTTCTTCCCGGTCTCAGTGTAGGCCTTGCCAGCCCTCCTGTCCTCCCTACCTTTCCAACAGGTTTATTTTCCCAGACTGTTCCCCTCCTTGTCTTGCTACCTGTTCAGCTGAGTGTGTGCCTCAGCCCCAGACAGGAGCCCTCTGTAGGCTGGATGCGCCCCTGCTGTGCCCACCTGTGCGAGAGGGACGCTAAGCCACCTGCTGAAGAAGTCAGCCAACGTGGCCACTCAGAACACCCGGCCAGGCTTTGATCTGTTAGCCTTCTGTGGACCTCAAGAGCCATCCCTCCACCATGCCTCCAGGCGTCTCCTCCCTGGGCCAGGGTAGTACTCAGCTGCACTTTGCCGGGGGTGCCGGGACAAGCCACCTGAGCTCCATGAGCCTCAATGGCTTGCTCTGGGAAATGACTCTCACACAGAGGATCAAAAGCTAAGACCCAAAGGAAAGTTTCATGGGGTTCCCAGCCAGCATCTGCCTTGTGGCCTCTCCCCAGCCATGGCAGACCCCACGCCCCATAGCGTGCCCTCCTCCATCCCAGGCCTGCCAGCCTCAGGCCTCATCCCCTCTGCGCTTGAGAGCAACTGGTTTAAGGTCCTGTCCACGGCTAGGCCAGCTTTCAGTCTGGTCTGAGTCCAAAGGCCTTGGAGTCCAAGGACCAGGGACTGGAGCTCACAGCCCCAACACCCCCATTAGATCCCAGCCCCGACACTGTATCTGGCTGGAGCCTGTCTGCACTTCACAGCCCTGCCCCTACCCTTCCCTGCCACTCTGCAAGCCTGCAAGTCCCCTCTTGCTGGACACCCAGGGGGCTCTCTGTGTCCTGCTCCAGGCTCGTGCCGGGTCACCTGGCTCATCAGCATCCTGGATTCCCTCCACCCTCAGTCCTTTCACCACTGGGGGCTCCGTGGGCTGCTCTCCCTGGGTCTCCAATCTGGAAACTTCCAGAGCACAGGGGCATGACTTGAGGCTCCTCCGGTCCCAGGGACTGGGAGGCCCCTTAGAATAGGACGGGGAGGGCTGTGAACAAGGTCCCCAGGGAACCAGAGTTAACATCTGGGGTCACTACCATCTTCCGCTGGCTTCACTGCTTCATCCTTGCGCCTGTTCCACGGCCCAGGTTCCCACTGGCACGGGGAGACCGTGAGGTACCTTACCTGAAGGGCTGGCCCGGGTGCCCCCACCCTGGGGGCTCGGCCGTGAGCCCCCTCTCCCACTGGGCTCTCTTCGCGACTCCAGGCTGCTCTTCCGGCCGCGGGGTTGCGGGCCCGGGCGCCATGGAAACGGGGCGGGGCCTCATTTGAATACTCAAATATTCATGAGCCACGGAAATCTCGGGCTCCGCAGAGCTGAGTCACGCCCCTTAGCAACAGTTGGTAGGGCAGACCGGAGGGGCGGGGTCGCGGCCAAGCTGGCTGCGGGCTAGGCTGGCACAGCCCGGCACTCGCCGGGACGCCTCTCCAGGGGGCGAAGGGGGCTGGGAGGCAGGGGGACAAGTCGCGGGGGGGGCGC